AAAACCCAGGGCCTCACACATGCCAGGCAAGCACTCTACCACTGAGGCACAACTCCAACCCCTTGTCAAATGACTTTTAAAATAGAAGTTGAAATAATACTGTAATGTACAGGGTGGTGACTATGACTATGACCTCTAACCTGGGCTTAAACCCTGGCTATGCATACAGTGACTTGGGCAAACTTTGACTTTGGGTAAAATAGAATAAACACAAATACTAGACTATGAATATTGTGCAGGATGGACCAAATCTAACTATTGTATGCCTAATTCTTAGCACAGTTTTTGCATCTTAGATGCTTAATATTTGCTGAATGTTATTAGATAAAACGGATATACAGATAATCCTTGACTTACTATGATTCAACTTATATTTTTACTTTACAAGGAGTTTAGCCAGATAATAAATGTATTTTGAACTTAATATTTTTGACTTATGATGGGTTTATGGGGATATAACTCCATGACAACCTCATCATAAATCAAAGAGCTCTATAAATGTTATCCACAGTCCCACACCCAGGGATAACCATCTTTAATCATCTGGGATATATAATTCCAATTTTGTATCCATGTATATGTTGTTTCTTTAGGAAAAAAATATGTATCATTTTGTAAAGCCCTGCTGTATTTGCTTAGTGCATGTGATGTTTGACTTTATGTTTCAACTTGACTGGGTCACCAGCTGCCGGGCTTTTGGTCAAACATTAGGGGCTTTTGGTCAAACATTATTCTGGGTAGGTCTATGAAGTTGTTTCTGAGTGAGATTAACCTTTGAGTTAAGCAGATTGCCTGCTTTATGTGGGCAGGCTTCATCCAAGTATTTGGGCCTCCATAGGGGGGAAAAAAAAAACAACTTTGGGTAAGAACTCCTTCTACCTGACTTACTGAATGAGATAGCCATCTTTTCCTGCCTTCTAAACAGAACTGAAGAATTAGCTCTTCTTGGGTTTCCATTCTGTCAGTTTGGAGATTAAAATGCACACTATTGGAACACCTCATTCTGGGGCCTTCAGACTCTCTGGAACTACTATGCCATTGGCTTTCCCGAGTTTCCAGCTTGAAGATTGAAGATCTTGGGACTTCTCAGCCTCCTTAATTGCTTGAGCCAATTCTTTTTTTTTTTTTTTTTAATATTTTTCTCTTTAGTTGTAGATGGCCAACAGTACATTTACTTTATTTATTTTTATGTGGTGCTAAGGATCAAGCCCAATACCTCGAGTGCCAGTCAAGCACTCTACCATTGAGCCACAACCCCAGCCCTTGAGCCAATTCTTTACAACAAATCTCCATAGATAGATGCATCGATAGGTAGGTAGATGATACAGATGTATAGATATAGATATGGATTTTTTTTTACTGGTTTGTTTCTCTGGATAACCCTAATACAGTACACTGCACTATCAATAATTATCTAAGTCATTAAATTTTCTTTTTCAAGAATATAATGTTTGTAGAGTATACTATTGTAGGGTTCCTTTGTTATAAAAAATTTAGATTGCTTTCATTTTATATGTTATAAATAAATGCTGAAGTGAATATAACTTGTATAAATATCCATGCATATTCCCGATTATTTCTTTAGAACAATTATATAAGTAGCTGGGTACTGTGATGCATACCTATAATCTCAGTTACTCAGGAGGCTGAGGCAGGCAGTAGAATTACAAATTCAAGAACAAGTTGCCTAAGCAACTTAGTTGAGACAAAAAAAAAAAAAGATCTGGGCATGTAGCTCAGTGGTTGAGTGCTTGCCTAGCATTTGCAAAGCCCTGGGTTCAATCCCAGGTACAACTAATAATAATCATTATTATTATAATTCCATAAATGAAATTGCTGAGTAAAAGAGTATGAAAAATGTATAAACTTTTAAAGCATATTGTTAGGAGCTAGAGATGTAACTCAGTGGAACAGCATATGTCCAACATGTACAAGATTTGATCTCCAGTACTGCAAAGAAAAAAAATGAATGTTATCAATTAGCTCTCCAAAGTGGTTACACCCATTTATACATCTGGCAACAAGTCTAAAAGGGCATTTGGTCACTGCAGCTTCATTAATACCAAGTGTTAATGATTTTTTAATCTGCCAAATTTGATTTTTTAAGATATCTTATTTTTCAATTTGATTTTGATTCACAGGCCAAACATTAAGCTTGTTAACTATTCATGTTCTTTGCTGATTTTTCTGTTGGAATGTTTTATCTGTCTTACTGATAAATAGGAACTCTATGTTAAGAACATAGGCCTCAGCTTGGGTTGTGGCTCAGTGGTAGAGCACTTGCCTAGCATGTGTGAGTCACTGGATTTGATCCTCAGTACCACATAAAAATAAATCAATAAAATAAAGATATTGTGTCCACCTACAACTAAAAAATAAATATTTTTTAAAAAGTATTAACTGATTGATAGTATTAACAATTAAATGACTATTTCTTCTCTTCTCTTCTCTCTCTCTCTCTCTCTCTCTCTCTCTCTCTCTCTTTGGTACTGAGGATGGAGCCCAGAGGTACTTTTACCACTGAGCCACATCCCCATGGATGTGGCTTTTGTGTGTGTGTGTGTGTGTGTGTGTGCACTAGGGATTGAACCCATGGCCTCATGCATGAAAGGCAAGTACTCTACCAACTGAGCCCCAGCTCTTTTTATTTTTATTTTGAGACAAGGTCTTGCTAAGTTGCTTAGGGCCTCACTAAATTGCTAAGGCTGGTCTTTAACTTGGGATCCTCCTGCCTCAGCTTCCTAAATCACTAGGATTACAGGTGTGCCACCACACCTAGCTTAAATGCTTAAGTGACTATTTCATCTTGAATTTTAGTATATACAAATTGAAAACTATCATAACCATTTGATAAATGCTAATTTAGCTAAGTGCCAGTCATTATTGTTGGTCAAGACATACAAAAGACTTGATCAGAAGGCTGACACTTAAAAATATATATATATTCAGGGGGCTATAGCTCAGTGTTAGAACACTTGCCTACCATTTGTGGGGCCCTTTGTTTGATCCCTGGTATCACCAAAAAAAGAAAAGAAAAATCCTCTTTACCTGTGCTTTGTATATCCCCTTTAGTCACTATTTATTTATTTATTTATCTATCTATCTATCTATCTATCTGTCTGTCTGTCTGTTAACAGTGTTGGGGGTGATTATGCTAACAGATTTAGATAAAGTTTCAGACAAAGTAAAATTTTGGGTTATCTTGAATGGAGAATAGTCTATGGAATATAATTTGAAAACATCTTGATTTAGGCCAGAAGAAAGGAAACTGTCCTTGGATTGAACTTGGCTGTTGCCCAGGTGGATCTGGATAACCTTGATCTAGCCACTACTCCCTGACCCCAGTACTGGGGATCAAACCCAGGCCCTCACATGATAGGCAAGTGCTCTACCACTGAGCTGCACCCCTAGCCCTAGCCACTTTTGTTGCCACCCAAAGATTAATTTCCCTCCTAATGGATGGTGTGGCTCTCCCACTCAGAACCAAGTTTCAGCTAATTGTGTGATTAACTCTGCTTTCCAAAGGATAGTTTTTACAGTTGCTAGTACCCTGAAACATTATCGAACCCTAAGGTATAAAAACAAATATTTACCTAAAATAATACATCTGAGGCTGTCTTCTCCATTATTTTTTCCTTGGATATAACATATTTTCCTTCTTTGTTTTTTTTTTCCTTCATAAAAATCTGCATCTCTTTCTTCTGTATTTCTCTTCTTTCCTTTGATTATCCTTCTTGCTTTACCTCTCTCTCTTGTCTTTTCATTTATTGAAATAAAGAATTTAGCCAGGTGCTGAGCATGAAGGTGCACACCACTAATCCTAGTTACTCAGGAGGCTAATAAAACAGGAAGATTGTTAGCTCAAGGCCAGCCTCAACAACTTAGTGAGACCCTGTCTCAAAATAAAAAATAAAAAGGGCTGAGGAAGCCTGGGGTTGTAGCTCAGTGGTAGAGTGCCCCTGAGTTCAATCTCCAGTACCACAAAACAAACAAAATTTAGGTATATTCTCTGAAGTATATACTTAATTATTCATATGTACTTGTAATTATTTTACTTAATTTTTTAAAAATTAAAAAAATATTTCATACTAAAGATTGAACCAAGTCCTTTTTATTTTTTATTTTGAGACAGAGTCTCACTAAGTTGCTTAGGACCTCACTAAGTTGTTGATACTGGCTTTGAACTTGCAATCCTCCTGCCTCAGCCTTCCTAGCTGCTGGGATGGTGGTGCCACTGTGCCCATTTCTAAAGTATTTTAATAATTATTGTTAAGTGTCATGTTTGTGGTTTTTACTTTTTAAAATAGATTAATTGAACCACTCATGTTATTATGAATAAATTAGTTTGCTATTCATAATTGGTCTTGAATATGCCCACTCCCACCTGACCTTGCAGTTGTTAAATGACTCCTGGTAGAAGAAATGATTTCCTACCAAGATACTATAGTAATGCTGTGATAACATTGTTTTATTTGAATTTCTTTTTTCTAAAGGCAACAATGCTGGGAAGTCTTTCTAGTTTGTATGGCTCTCTCCATACCCAAAGTCTTGTATAACTGACCATATTAGTTTTGCTAAGACCTAGTTAGCGTTCATACTATGTGCAAGTGCCGTGATGGTGCTAACAGCGTGGGAGGGATTTTTCATTTCCATAATCTTTATTCTCTGGTCTGTACAATTCACCCCTTCCTTAGTCTGAACTGGAGAACTGAGTGGATACATTCTCTTTCCAGCCAGATTCTTGTCCCTCAAGGCCTTTCCTCTTCAGGGGTTTTACAGCTCTCACGGTACAGTTCTGCAGTAAAATACACAACAGCATGATCTTGCGAAATTGATATATTGAAGGAATGGTTACAAAATAACTCTCTGTTTACAAAGGATTTATGTTGGAATGTTTTTAAAGTGCATGTTTTCTTTAGTACTTTCAAATGATTTAAACCTTTCAGAAAGGCTTCTTATGGGTAAATAAAATTATCTTTCTCCCCCCTTGTCTGACATAGATATCCTTGTGCTGCACCTCACGGCTAGTCGTGTGTTTACCTCCATTTTAACAGCAATACCCAACACGGAGCTTTGGGTGGACTAAGAGACCCTGGTTAAGACAGCAGCAGCTACCCTCGTTTCAACCACATCACTCCACTTTGAATATTTCCCATCTCTAAGCAGAGAAGCAAATATGCCTCTTATTCTAAGAAAAAGAGAAAATGATCAGGAGGACAAGTTAAACAGTACACGTACTTTAAGTGAAGGAGAAAAAGATCAGGATATCATTAGTAGATCACTTCCTCTAAGTAAAAGAGAAAATGTTCAGGAGGAAAAGTTTGAAGATGCCTATGAAATTATCCCTGTGGCAACAACAATGAATCTCCTGTCTTCTTTGGAAGAATGCACAACTGGACTATACTTATTTCTGAATAACAGATTCACAGATGCAGTAAATCTCATTTACCCGTGGTCTAAAAACAGCACATACCATGCCCTATTATACAGTATGCTTATGGTTGTCAAAGCCATCCTGACTTTTGATCCACAGGACATACAGATTGGGATGAATGCTGCAAAGGAAGCTTTGAAAACCTGTAACAATTTCCGAAGAAGAACTAGGATAATGACTTTATCTCGTATAGTGAGTAGACAGGGAATAAGAGCTGTCAAAGAAGAAGAATTACATGCAGAAGTCTGTTATGCTGAGTGTTTGATCTTGAAATCTTCCATAGCATTTATACAGGATGACAGTATGATTAGTTTTCTTAAAAGTGGGCTCAGCATTGGGTCAAGTTATCAAATATACAAAGATTGTCAACAGGTATTAACTCTTATGCCTCACAGCCACAGCAAAGCCCACAGACACTTGGTTGGAGGGATAAAATTTGGACTTGGATCATTTAATTTGATGTTATCACTTGTGCCACCAAAGACACTTAGACTTCTCAATGTTGTTGGACTTTCTGGGGAGAGAGAGGTAGGCTTGGCTTTGCTTCATGAGAGTGCATCTGAAACTCATATAAATAATATTTTAAGTGTTTTCACTCTACTCTTTTATTACAGTTACATCCATGTAGCTTTTGGTGTTGAAAAAGTTTCCAGTTTGGCTACAGAGAATCTCTTCCTCATATACCTCCAGAAATTTCCAAACTGTGTTGTACTTAAATTTTTTCATGCACGTTTTAGTATGTTGAGAGGAAATTTTGAAAAAGCACAATTGAAATTACATGAGTGCATTTTTACTCAAAACGAATGGAAACAGGTTCACCACCTCTGTTACTGGGAACTCATGTGGTGCCATATTTTTCTGCAGGATTGGAAGCAGGCTTATAACTATGCCCATCTACTGTATGTACATAGCAGATGGTCCAAGGCAATATATGTGTATAGTAAAGCTATCATATTGGCCTTACTTCCTCCTGATTTTGTGAAATCACTGAATGATAACATAACCTCTCTCTTCTTAAATGTGGAAAACCTGAGAATCAAAATTTTAGGCACCCCTGTGCCAATAGAAAAGTTTGTTGCTGAGAAAGGTCAGCGCTATGGTACTACTACAGGCTGGTTTACAGCACAGCCCCTTCTGGAATTCATTTATGCCTGGAGTGGTTTCCGAGTCATGAGCAAAAAAATAGAGCTTATTTCAAGCTGGCTATCAATAATTAACAAAGGAAAAGACCTTTTGCAGGAAAATCCAAATGAGGAATATGGCACAGATGACATAAGTTTCTTAAATTTGCTGAAAGGGCTATGCCTGAAACACCTAGGCAAATATTTGAAGGCTGAGCATTACTTTAATCGTGTTATTCAAAAGGAGAAGTTTTTAAAATATGACCACTATTTGGTGCCATATACTTACTATGAACTAGGAATTCTACACTATCTGAAAGGAGATTTTGCCAGTGCAACAAAATATCTAGACAACATAAAGAACTATAAAGACTATTCCATGGAAGCCCGGTTACAGTTTAGGGCTCATATAGCCCTTGAACAAATAGCTAAAGAAAAGTGATTTAAACACAAAGTGTGCTTTTGTTTAGCACGAGTGGAATATCTACAACCAGCAAAATAATTAGCAGGTAGAAAAATCATTTCTTTGTGGAAAAGGAATTCAAGAGGCAGCTGCTAAGATCTGATCAGTAACAAATAAGAAAGGAATTGGCCATTTCTTTCTGCTCTTTTTTTCTCCTTATGTATAAATGTGATGATTAGACTTGCAAATGGAGTGACCGAACATTCTTGAAAAAGAAAAGGCAAATGCTTTACATTATAAAAATATTGTCTTAAAACTTCCAAGGCAGTTTTTAACACCAACTTAGATAATGTATACAACTTGCAAATAAAATAGGAAATGTGGCCACACTCAGGATACCAGAGGCCTGTAAATGTTTTTTTATTTAATTGTTAAAGAAAATGATCTCGAAGGTCTTACTGATATTTCAGTGATACACAGAATAGCATAAATTCTGAATGTTTTTCCCTTACATACAGTCACTTTTATTGACTTTTTGTATCAGAGAATAATTTTTCCATTAGGTGAAGGGGAGTATTTTTTAACTTTTTTCATTAGGAAATTCAAATAAAGGTTTGTAATTTCCCACAGGATAGCAAAGAAAAAAGCACACCTCTCCTGCTACACACATAAACCCTTGGGAGATAATTGGGGCCAAAAGGTTATGTCACTGGGTAGAAAGAAAAGACCAGGCTCTTGGAGGAAGAGTAACCCTCCCTTTCATTGTGCTCCCTAAAATGTTAATTCTTATTAAGATCAGCTCTTCAACATAATTAAACCACCTGTATCTATCCATTGTTGCTAGGCTGATCTGAGAGTAAATGGCAACTATAAGGGATGAGGCAACATTGTTTTACCTGCCTTAGAGATAAAAATCAGTTCCTAAAGTCCAGACCAGGAAGTCAGGATAAATATAACTGTCCCCCTTGTAGTCACCCTTTGAAACAGGTTGCTGGGGAAAGTGTCGCTTGGTAAAACTCGGTAGTATAGCACATTATCTTAATACCTTGGGTGTCCAAACAGCCAATTGGAGCACAATGAGGAGCCAATAGTTCATATTTAGCATTAATTGCTTTTAAAAATATTTTCCCCATAAACGTTTAAATGAACAATAGTGCTTAGTTATTCCCCATTATTTAATTAGTATGGTTTAGTGGTTAAGAGGTTAAGAGGTAGTTGCTTGCCCAACTACCTAGATTTGTATTCTAGCTCTGTTACTAAATAACTGTATGATCCTGGGTGTGTCTGCTTTCATTTCCTTAGCTGTAAAATAGGGATAACAATAGTACCTATCTCATGGTTTTACTATGTAAAGACAGAGCCAATAAGCCTCTTTTATTATTATTACTGGTACTACTAACAATAATACCACATTATTCTTCAGGGCAGAGAACTTTCTTGGAAAAAGGTCCCTTTTCTTCCTGCCTTGCCAGTGTAAAATTTGACCTGTTAGTTTGCTTTCTCTGTTCTCCATTTAGCCTGGTCACTAACAAGTAACTCTGTCTAAATTGCAGTTTAATGTTTTGTAAAATATCCCAGCTTCTTCCTATAAATAGCAAATTAGTTGATTGATTAAACAAATATGTATTGAATGCCTACTGTATGCAGACACTGAAACACAGTACTGAAGACATACTATAAAGCATGATCTCTTTCCTGAAGGCCTTATTAGGGAGGTAAATTAGAAAAGGGTTTCACTGGAGGTAGAAGCACTTAAAATACTCATTTGAACAGTTTATTTGCCCCATATAAAAACAATCTGAAGATAGATAGTTCAGGTCTGCTATGACCCTTTTGTCTTTCTGTTTAGCATGTAGCCCTTCTCATGCTTGTCTCCTCATAGTGGGAAGAGGCTGCCTTACCTCTAAGCTTTGTGTCCAAGCCCAATAGGCTGAAAAGATAAGGGACAAAGGGGCTTTCTCTCTGCTAGGAGGCTTTGCCTTCTTATTTCAGAAAGGACTGCCTTGCTGGACATGGTGGCACCTGTAACCACGACATTTGTGAGGCTTAGACAGGAGGATTGCAAATTCAAAACCAGCCTCAACAATTTAGTGAGGCCCTACACAACTTCATCTCAAAATAAAAAATAAAAAGGACTAGGGATGTGGCTCAGGGCCCCTGGTTTAAATCGCTGGATTAGGGGATGGGGTCGGGGGAGGAAGAACTGCCTTCCTAGGGACTTGATGTACATCTCAATTGCTAGAAATATTTGTATAGCCCCTGTTAGTTGCAAGGGAAAATGAAGATTGAATTTTAGCTTTCAAACCTCATTAGGAGGTTTTTGGGAGAGTTGTTAAGTGGACCAACATACAGTAGCTGCCACAACAAATATGTAAATAACAGACTACCAAATGGTTTGAGTGTGGTGACTCACACCTGTAATCCCACCTATTTGGGGGCTGAGGCAGGAGGATCATGAGGCCAGCATGGGTAACTTAGTGAGATCCTGTCTCAAAATAAAACATGAAAAGGAATGGGGGTGTCATTCAGTGACAGAGCACTTGCCTAGCAGATGTGAGATCCTAAATCCAATCCCAGTTCTGCAAAGCAAAGCAAAGCAAAACAATACAAACCAAAAAAAGCACAAAACACAAAACGGGGAGAGGGAGAACACTGCAACAATGAGATCAAGGAATCACTGGAGAAGACCCTGTAAGGACCTGACAAGAAATCTTGGAATGACATTACCTTTGTGAAGTTGCTACCCACTGAGCCCAGATTCTAGCCCTTACCAGTCCAAGACTTACTGAGATACAGAGACTAATTCTATCCAAATTCACAAGAGATTGAAGTAGAATTTACTAATTTCTTTGTTTCTTGTAGAGGCTTTCCCAGAGTTGCAAACTTAAATTTCTATAGGGATCAGGAAGGTAATGTAAATATATGAAGCATCCAAGCATAAAATAATAGTGGTAGAAACTAGCTTCAGTGAAGAGATGACACAGTGTAGGTCATATTAGACCTAGCTGCATGTTTTGCTATGACTTATTGGTAATTAGTGACTTCTCATCTATCCCTTTCTATTGACTAGAAAGTTCTCGTGTTTCATCTTGAACACGATCTGTCCTGATAAAACAGTGTACATGGAAAATCAACAGTCACAAAGCAGCATGCTGAGGATGGAGTTAAGACAGAGTAAGGCAGATAGTTTTAGGAATATCTGCCTGATGTAACACCTGATGAATCATCCGTTCTCACACTATGCATCCATCCTGGGAAAATGTCTCCCAAATTCTCAGGACTCTAAGACATACTTCTCAAACCCCAGCTTTCAGATTTTTCTTCTCTGCCTTCTGCTGTTAACCATGGGTTACTGAATATTCAGGAAAGGTACAATACACTGTTTCCATTTACTAACATACAAGCCATTTCAACCCTGCTTCCTGGCTTAAAATTTCAGTTGTTCCCACATGCTTTGGTCATTCAGATTACAGATGGTCTCTTTGTGCAAATGAATCACAGATCTAATCACATCCGTTTAATTTAACTTTTTGGGTCAGTTTATAAGAGATTAGAGGAGTTATCTCATGGTTGCCTTTTGTACCGTAAACACAAATAAGACGCTATTGAAGCACTTTTTATGCAATGAAGAAATTTTCCTATCCAATTTAATGAAAATAATTACTGCTGGAAGAGGCCCAAGAGCCTGGAAAAAAAAAATGAATGGGAAGGGAAGGGCTTATGCATAAAGAACAAAGAGAATTTTTGTTACAGACCTGAGTCCTCAAAGCTTTCAGCATGTCCTTGCCCCAATCCAATCAATGAGTAAATTATGTTGATTACTTCTTTGAAATATCTTTTGAATTTTTTTTTCATTTTCACTTTTTTCAGCCTAGACTAGGACTTCACTTTTTGTCTGGACTATTGCAGTTGTCTTTAGGAACAGTAATTCAGTGGTGAACATCCTGTTTTGTTCCAAGGCAATTCCAAGGCAAAATAAAAATTGCCAACCCCACATTTTTTTTTTCAAATAAAAATGAAATCTATATAAAGCATGTATATTTTTGCTACTTCAATTTCTCACTTCATTAGATAGATAGCCACAGAATTTTAGCCATAAAGATTTATTTTAATTTTTTTTTTTTTTTTTTTTGTCTTTAGACATGCTAGGCAAGCATGCTACCATTGAGTGACATCCCCAGCTATAAAGATGTTATTGTCTTGGCATATTTGTCTGAGAATATTTGAGAAGCAACATAAAAATAGTTTTGTAGGCTTTCAAACTTTTGCTTAGTTCTTCAAAGTTCATAAAGTCTGTTCACCTAAGAAAACAAGCCTATCTTTATGTTAAGGGAACCACTCCTTCTCTGAGAAGGTAAAATCCTCCCTCTGGCAGGCCGGATGAAAGTGATCAATTTGGAGACACCCCTCTTCAAAAATCATATCTCCTGAAGGTTTCCATGGAGATGACCTGCGATTTGGGAGGCCAAAAATGAGGCAGAAGGAACACAAATTTGAGGCCAACCTCAACAATTTAGTGAGGCCATCTCAAAAAAAAAAAAAGGCTGGGGATGTGGCTTAGTGGTAAAGTGTGTGTGTGTGTGGCCCTGAGGCTAGAGAATCACTAAGGCTCAGGAGTTCATGACCAGCCTTGGAAACATAGCAAGACCTGGTCTCGGAAAAAGAAAAAAACATCCATTAGTGTTAATCTTATTAATCTTTAGGGTTGTGAGTGTAGCTCAGTAGTAGAGTATTTGCCTAGAATGCACGATTCCATCCCCAGGACCTCCAACAAGAAAATTAGTATTGGAAAGTTCTTAGAATAGTACCTGTCACAAATGAAAGGAAAGCGAGGAACCGGGAAATGGGTGAGCCATAAATGAAAGACACAGACCAGGCAGAGATACACACAAGAGTTTATTTGTCAGAGTTGACAAATAGAGGCACATCTCTCCATAGACAGAAAGAGGCAAAACAGCTTTGGGGTTCAGGACTTTTATGGGGCAGGCTCAGGGATTAGAGCCAGATGGGTCCTAATGCAGGTGGTGAAGGGTTGGGTTGGTATGAGGGAGGGGTAAGCCTTTCTCAGAAGTGCCCTTTAGCAGGAAAGCGAAATTTTTCTTAAAATGTCTGTTGTCACTTAAGATGGCCATCCAGATGCTAAGCAAGGACCTTACAA